CCAGGTGATGGTTACTACATCCTTGCAGGAGGGAGTGTTTCCAGCTGCCTTTAAGGAGGCGGTGGTGCACCCCCTCCTCAAGAAACCCTCCCTGAATCCTACTGTACTGGACAATTTTTGTCCAGTCTCCCACCTCCCCTTTTTGGGGAAGGTGGTTGAGAAAGTGGTGGTGTCAGAACCTGCATCAATCAAATGTTAATCACAAGAAGAATGATTTAATAGCTATAGTAGTCAATAGGAGTTTGCTTGATTTGATTCTGCCATTTGTATGGGGGGGGGGAAATACTAGTTAATAGGTGTGCTTGGGGTATTGCTTTGAGATGGAAAGGTACTTACATTGATATGGGAATTTACAACAAGAATTGAAAGCAGACACAACCGGTGGTGGCCTGAAGGCCAGGAAGGACTGTGTTATCAGGGGGAGGAATTTACAAGGCCACAATCCTGTGAGAAAGAAATCAGGTGCCAAAATAGAAGGGGGTGGGGGAGGGAAAAGTAGAGGGAAATTTACATGGGCTTTAGTTTTAGCAATGCTTTGCTTCAGGCTGCATGTACCAGCCAATAAAGGAGCATTATCTGAACAAGGCCTGGTTTCACGAGAATTCTTCTGAATTGGGGTTTGGACTTTGTGGACTTGACAGGTGGCATCACAGCTCCAAAGGGTTCTGGAGGAAATGGATTATCTGGATCCCTTCCAGTCAGGTTTCAGGCCCGGTTATGGAATGGAAACGGCATTGGTCGCACTTATGGGTGATCTCTGGTGGGAGTGGGATGGTGGAAGTGCGACCATCCTTGCTCTCCTTGATCTCTCAGTGGCTTTCGATACCGTGGACCACGGTATCCTGTTGGGATGACTCAGGAAATTGGGGGTGGGCAGCACAGTATTGTGCTGGTTCACCTCCTGTCTTCAGGGCCGATCCCAATCGGTGGTGATAGGGAGTGAGAGGTCCCATCCTTGGCTCCTCCTTTGTGGGGTGCCGCAGGGTTCAGTTCGCTCCTTTTCAACATCTACATGAAACCACTGGGTGAGATCATCCACCATCATGGGATGAGGTATCATCAGTATG